GTACACGCATCTACTTCTACAATTTTTTAGATACCGGGTTGAAATTTGGCACACAAATAGAGTATCATAGAAAGTATGTCCTCCTCAAATTTTATTAAAATCCATAAAACGGTATAGATTTTATGCAGATTTTCATTTTTTTGAAAAATGTGTTTTACGCTGCATCTTTCTCAATATTTGAGATAGCGATCTATTTTTAACTCTATTATATTTTTGAGTTTTTTCTACCCCTATTTCATATATAATTCATTAAAATTTGATTGATTAGATCTCGTGTTACACACATTTGAAATTTCGGAGAATTATACATACAGTTTCTAATTTATATAATAATTGAAATCGAGTTAAAATGTTCATATTTGATAGCTTCGGTTTTATCTCGAAAAATCGTATTAGTAAAAAATGTCCGGAAGTATGTATGTATGTGTGTGTGTGTGTGTGTGTGTGTACGGATTTTTTGTACACGCATCTACTTCTACAATTTTTTAGATACCGGGTTGAAATTTTGCACACAAATAAGAGTTAGGTGTGCGAGTAGAAACCTGCACATTGCTTGATTAGAGTTTTTAAGTGTTTAAGTAGAAACCTTCGCACACAAAGCTTCCTCTATGAGGAAGCCAACACAAATAAATACTGAAAATTATACATTGAAAAAAATAATGCTTCATCAACTTGCACACTTAATAACTATGAGGAAGCAATGTGCAAGTTTCAACTTGCACAATTAATAACTATGAGGAAGTAATGTGCAAGTTTCTACTTTTTTTTTTATATTATGATTTGATTATATATTAATCAAAGAAATTATTGATACGCAAAAAAAATTTTTAGGCTGCGTTTCGATATTCACTACCAGTACTGTAGTGCGATTCTGCAACTCGTTATGCGTCGTTATGTGCTCATAACGACAGTTGCGCAGTTTTTTTCCCATATAGTATACCTGCTCAACGACAACATAACGATACCGACACTGTCGTTAAGAGTTACAGAATTGGAGTACTGAAAAGCTATAGTTTACGTCACGTATAGGTACTATAGATTTTCAGTACTGGCAGTGAATATCGAAACGCAACCTTAATAGATTTACATAATAGTGTTTCTTTCGTTTGACAGACCTGAACACGTGGCAATTGCTATCGTGAAACTGATCGAATAAGAGATTTTAATGTAAAATCTGCAATCATGACGAGTCATCCTTATTACAGTGTGATACACCGGTATCTCTATATTTAGTTCAAGCAAAATTTAAAAAAAACATTTTGTGGTTTTGCAGCGCTGCATATTTCTGTGTGTGTGTGTGTGTGACCATTTAATATTTATTTATACCGCATTACAATTCGTTTAGACTTAAAATTTATTTATTAAAACTTATATATTTTATGCATGATAAAAAAATGTATATATTTACTTGTAAAAAGTTGAGAAACAACGGACGTTAAATTATGTATTTCGACGAACGTGATACACGATGCACTTGTGTTAGAAAAAAACATGGAACCGCTAAAAGGCTTTATTTATTTTTCTGAAAAGTTGACATCGAAATTGATTTTTATTGCTTGTATTTTCGCAAAATTAGAATTAGCCATAGGTAAAAAATATTTAATAATAAAAATTTATAGTAACTAATTAAATATTGAAATTTCTAATAGTAGCAAAGTACAGTAGCTAATAAGGTATCCATTATTACTTTATGAGATTAAATATAGAATAGCGATAATAATAACGACTTTTTCAGATTGTAGTTTTTTTTAACAAAATGAATGTGATACATAAAATGCTAAAATAAAATGTGGTGTACATACCGTGACGATTTTCATAATTTATTACTGAAACTAAAGGCTCTTATCAAATTCGAAGTTTATTGTATCTATTATATAAAATTCGAAATAAATTATAGGTGTAAATTAGTTTAAATCTCTCCGCCAGAATAATTTATCATACTCGAATCTGTACAAAAAAAGATAAACATCTTTAACTTGTTTGTTGGTAATTAGAATTTCGATCCAAGAGTTGCAATAAATGTTATAATGTATACACTTTTACGATTATTGCAAACAGTTTTTCTAAAATTTATCAATATCTTTCTTTCTGTTATTTCTTTTACTGCATCTTATTTTATATTATTATATGTTTATAGAATTACTCGAAAACACATAAAAATAAGATAATTTTTATTTACTACTAGCTGGTTACCCGGGCTTCGCCCCGGAGGACATGTGTAATAATACACGCAAATAATCTCGCTCAATAGTCTCTCTCTCTCTCTCTCTCTCTCTCTCTCTCTCTCCCTCTCCCTCTCCGAGATTCGGTCAATTATTTCGCGTAAGAATTAAAAAAATTAGAAAAACCGGTTTCCAGAAAATCGGTAACGAAAAACTATACACTCTATAGCACTCCCCGGAAAATTTTACCCCTATTTTATATGGTTCTAATACAAATTCGGTCCAATAGTTTTTAAGTTAAAAACGTTCAAACATACACCACACTTGTAAGAATTAAAAAGAATTTTTAAATGAGTTTCCAAAAAATAGATAACGAAAAACTATACACTCTATAGCATTCGCCGGAAAATTCTACCCCTATTTTATATGGTTTTAATATAAATTCGGTCCAATAGTTTTTAAGTTAATAACGTTTTTTTTTATTTTTCTAATTCTTACGGGTGGTGTATGTTTGAACGTTTTTAACTTAAAAACTATTAGACCGAATTTGTATTAAAACTATATAAAATAGGGGTAGAATTTTCCGGGGAGTGCTATAGAGTGTATAGTTTTTCGTTATCTATTTTCTGAAAACCGATTTTTTTAATTCTTTTACCCGTAAGAATTAGAAAAATTAAAAAAATCGGTTTTCAGAAAATCGGTAACGAAAAACTACACACTCTATAGCACTCCCCGGAAAATTCTAGCCCTATTTCATGTACTTGTGGTAAAAATTCGGTCCAATAGTTTTCACGTTATTAACGTTCAAACATACACCACCCGTAAGGATTTTATATAATAGTATAGATAATAGTATAGACTAGAAGTGATTCGAAGTAAACCAAACGTTTGGAACTTTTACGATTGCTTTTTCTTTATCACAGAAACGTGATTGTACACATAAAAATACATACAATATACAATACATAATACATGTTTGCTACATTTGCATTTTATCTGTGTTGAACGCCTTGCTTCTACTATAGAACGTAATGTGTATATATAACATAATTGAAATTCAAAACTCTTCTAAAGCTAAACATTTATTTAAATATAGCTATAGCTTTTAAATATAGCATATTTAAAAGTTTAAAACGTATTTAAAAGTTTAAAACGTTAGCCTTATCTTCCTTATAACTTAACTGCGCGCAAGTGACAGATGATTGTTGACATATAAAAGCATCGTACGGCTGAGCATTTCTTCTTATTCACAATCTTTTTGATATTTAATCTTCTTAATGCAATATCGACAATAAGTAATGGACAACGTGGAAAGTAAAACGGCGATAGTCACAGGAGCCGGCGCCGGCATTGGCTACCACATTACCGAAGATTTGTTGCGTAAAGGCGCAAAGGTATTTTACAAGCAAAAATTAAAAAATGAAGAAAAATGGTGTATTATCTCTCTACCTTATTATAATAATTTTAGAAAGTCGCCATTCTTGATTTGCCGGTAGAACGTTGTTACAACGCAACAGTAACATTGCAAGAAAAATTTGGAAAAGAACGTGTCATCTTCTTTCCAATTGATGTAACAAACTTGGAAGCGTACAACGGTAAATGCCGCGAATTTCTTAAATAATTTTTATCAAATTACTTATTATTTACATCTTTTATTTTACATTTTTGAACATGAGATATCCATTAAATTAAAGCATTAAATACACTAACCGATTATTTTTATCGTCAGAAACCTTCAAACAAGTTATTAAGGCTTTCAATGGTCTTGACATACTTGTTAACAATGCTGGAATATGTAATGACCGTTGTTTTGAGCAAACGTTTGCTGTTAATGTCGTGAGTAATAAAACATTAAACTTCAACCGATTAATTGAATTATTTACTAATTTTATTAAGATTTGCTGTTTAAGAACACGTTAATCGGAAATAGATTATCATTAAATAAGAATTTTGGAATATAATATATTTCATAGAGTGACTGATTTATTTATTATAAATAAATACATTAACATGTATTACATATATTGTTCGTATTTATATAAACAAGACATGCAATTTTTTTAATCACAAATATATGTACTCGTATATATTAAGTGATGCGTAAATTATTTACGCATTTTATTTCTATAGATAGCAGTAATTCGCGGTTCGCTATTGGCCTTAGATTATATGGGCAAACATAAAGGTGGCAAAGGGGGTACCATAGTAAATGTAGCGTCTATGGCTGGGTTGGGGCCTTTCTGTACATGTCCGGTGTACTGTTCTTCTAAATATGCTGTCGTCGGATTTGGCTCCAGTCTTGAGGTAATTTATAGGTAATTATTTACAAAAAGACCCCACTCGCCAATGACCTTGACCTTGACATATGTTGTCAAGGTCACCCTCCTGAGTGACCTTCAGAAGGTTTTAGCCGGCGGTCGTTCTTTATTAAAAAGTTATTAACAAAAAAAGCTCGTTTATTGTATATCGCCACAAATATTCACACAGATGATTGAC